ATCGGCTGGAGCATCTTCTATTTCTTCCAATCCTTCCAGTATCCTCTTCCATGGAGTGACTGTCCAATCAGAAAGAATGGGACTCTTGCCAGTGAGTGACATTAAATATTAATTAACAGACATAAAGCAGAATAAATGCTTCAGAACAACATTTAAGCAAGGCAACTATACCACTAGATGCCACTAAATGTTACACACTGGAAAATAAACATTTACCATCTTAGTTTAGTGTGTTAGCATGCTAACATTTGCTAATACACACAACACACAAATTACAACTGAGGCATTTTACAGGAGATATTTCACTAAAAATCACAAATGTTAACCTCATGGTGGCGCAGAAGAAGAGTCAGGGGATCGCCAAGGTCATCATGATTCATTCTCTGGGGACAATGAACATCTGTGCATCTCATGGCAATCTATCCATTAATCTATCTGTCTGCAAGTGGTAGAAGCTAGAGCGACATGTCATCCATAGAGCCATGCTGCTAACATAGCTACAAATCATAGACAATAAAAACAATTTCAGTGATAAAAAAAGTGTGCAGTAGAGAAAATTAAAAAATCAAAGGCAAAGAAAAAGAGAGAGTAAGTTACTGTAAGTGAGTGAGTTGGGTGGCATTTGCATTTACATAGCATATAAGCTGAATGCAGACTTGATCTAAAGGGTTTACTTTTAATAATCTATAAAAAATGTACACTACAGTACAGTAGATGGATGTTTTCATCTAATATCAAGAGTGCATACATCAGGATTATGTTAAGTCTAGAACAATAATCCATTTGTGTCACTGCTATGGTCAGTCTTATGTAGTAGTAGTATGTATATGGTTCTCACAATAATTTCTTAATGGGCCGCCACGCTGCAATCTGTAGGATTAAACACATGAAGCCCTGCAGCCTCAGCCTCTATCAACACACCTGCAGTAAGCAGATCAGACAAACTGTGTTAACTTCCTTACAGCTTTCTGTCACACCTTCACAGACATAATCCAGATTAAAACCTTCTGGAGGTTGATTAGAAGCGATAATAACATAACCCCAGGGCGGCCGAGAAACACTCAGCATGTGTATGACTCAGCAAGGCGGCTGGCAGGCAGACGGGGGAGCAGAGATTCAGACTGAAGGACGCTCAAGCTGAGGGACTGCAGTAGAGTGTAAAATGATTCACTGGAAGGACAGAAACTATGTGTTTCTCATGCATCTGTGTCCAGTGTGACATAGAAAACACCATGATTGAACCAGATAGTAATTATACTAGACTGTGAGTTCAGCAGAGGCCATCTTGAATGCATCAGATTTAGATGGCCATACATTTATAAAGAGCTTTCTGTGCATCTGTATTTATGTGTCTGTGTGCATCCGCGCAGATAAATCTGCACCATCCTGCAATATTATGTGGAGAATTGTATTACTGCTGACTAAACACAGCCACACACTCTATATCTCATTTCTTCAAGGTAATAAGAATATAATATACTGGGTGTGCTCTGTAAGAAATCTCAGGTGATGTGAAATGGAGGTCCATGCTTGGCATACTAAGCACACAGACAACCTTGTTCAGCTCCCCTTACGCCTGAGAGGTGTAAACCAGCCGAGAATTGAGAGATTGACCCTAAGTTAACATCCTCAGTCTCATTATATTTCTCCTTCTGCCCTCTCTGGATGACATTCAAAAACTCCTGTGCTCATCTTCCCACACCGCTTGCCTTTTCTTCACTTATCACCCCAATAACTAAAGCTCCATCTGTCTTCAAAACACACAGTTGTGGAGCCGGAGTGCGAGAAAAGCTCGGCTACGACCTATTTCTGGTACCGTCAGACTCTGAACACCACCAGTACCATCGCAGAGAGTGGCGGACTCAACATCAAAATGACCCTGTCCCTGCTGGTGGCTTGGATCATCGTCTGCCTCGCCGTCATCAGAGGAATTGCCTCCTCTGGGAAGGTAGTGGAGAGGATGAGACAGAAATGGATAACACAGTGAGAGAAACATATGAAGGAGACCCCTTGTTTCCCTTTGCTGAATGTATGTTTTCCCTTTTCCACTTCCACAGGTGATGTATTTCAGCTCTCTCTTCCCATATGTGGTGCTGTTCTGTTTCCTGGTCAGGGGTTTAATGCTGAAGGGATCAGTGGACGGTATCGCTCACATGTTCACTCCGAAGGTGAGACTGACAGAACTGCTTTGTCCCAGTGTCTTTACTCAGCCATACTGAAAAACTCTAAATAACAAACTTGTGAACTGACTTCCTCTCTGTCCGTCGCAGTTGGAGAAGATGCTGGAGCCCCAGGTGTGGAGGGAGGCAGCCACCCAGGTCTTCTTCGCCCTGGGTCTGGGGTTTGGAGGAGTCATAGCCTTCTCCAGTTACAATAAGATTGATAACAACTGTCATTTTGATGCCGTGCTCGTCTCTGTCATCAACTTTCTGACATCCATTCTGGCCACACTGGTGGTGTTCGCTGTGCTGGGCTTCAAGGCCAACATCATGAATGAAAAGTGTGTCGTAGAGTAAGTTCACACCTGAAAAAGCATTTACATACAGGAAATTAACATTATGATAATAAAGAGATTAATTAACATCCTCTGGTGGTGTCTAGCCATACAGGTAATTTTGGTTTTACTTTGATTTGGAGATTTTAACTTTCTGCCATCTTGGCAGTGTCCGGCTCTGTCCCAGCTAATCCACAAATAGGCAAAGAGTTGGAGCATGGATGGAGCTGAGGCAGAGCAGATGAAGCCACTAGCTGCCTGCGATGGCACCCACCTGTCACTCAAAGCGACCATGCCTTTAATTATGCATAGCTTTAAGAGTTCGTTTTTGGCACTTCCATGTTGGCTTAATTTTTTCCAGCCATGGAGGTTTCCACTCGGTCAAGACTTCATTAGTTTGTCATACATTTTTGCATTTTGGGTGAACTAAAGTGAAAGGAAGCATGTTCAAGAAACAATCTAAGAGCAGTAAAAGTAACCTTAAAGATCATAAATACACATATAACCTGACTTTATATTTTTTGTGTGAATGATGAGTAGTTAAAGCACTTTGTATGACAGGACTTCCTTAACTGTGAAATAACCCTGGAGTCACGTTACTGTACATACATATCTCATATATTACAGTGTTGTATAAACATTGTGCATTGATATGTACATATTACCTTGTGATTGTCATCCTCAAGTCTAAGCAGACTGTATGCTCAGCAGACTCAATATGCACATTAAAATCACCTCGGTACTTCATACAATATTTATTTGTGCATTCTTTGCACTTCCTATATATACAGTAGATAATGATCTGACCTATGAATAGATATAAAGTCGTGCAGCCTCAACAGAATGTACATGTTTAAGTTTGATTGTACTTGTTTAGCTTTATTTCTTATGATATATGTCGATATGTCAGTCTAATCCTGCTCTTTTTTATTTCTAGTAATGCAGAGAAGATTCTGGGATACCTCAACTCTAACGTCCTGAGTCACGATCTGATCCCTCCACATGTAAACTTCTCCCATCTCAGCACATCAGACTACGCTGAGATGTACGGGGTCATCAAGACCATTAAAGAGGGCAGCTTCACCCAACTGGGACTGGAGCCTTGTCTCCTGGAGGACGAGCTTAACAAGGTGAGTGTTGATGTCGGCACAGTCCTGCTACGGAAAACATAGCATGTTCTGTCTGTCACCTGATTTCACTCCTCTGATCCTCTCTGCAGGCTGTCCAGGGAACCGGCCTGGCCTTCATCGCCTTCACAGAAGCCATGACCCACTTCCCGGCATCTCCATTCTGGTCGGTCATGTTCTTCTTCATGCTCATCAACCTCGGTCTGGGCAGCATGATCGGCACCATGACTGGCATCACCACACCTGTCCTCGATACCTACAAGGTCCAGAAGGAGCTTTTCACAGGTAAACCTCCCCCACTGACTCCCTCAGTCAGTCCACTGTGTGCTATTAGTAGTTTAAACCCCTTATTCAGCACAGCATTAAAGCACTGTAGGGAATGGACTGCATTAGGCTTTGTATTATTGCTCAGAGTGTACTGAATGCAAAACACTTACTGGCAATAAAACCCTTTTATTTTTCATTTATTATTTCCCAGTTTTCTATTTCTATTTATCTATTAGACCAAACCCTTGACCATTTCTTAACTTTTCCTCTGAATGGC